GCAGGAACGAACCCACATCAGAAACAACAGCTGCACGTCCCCACCATTTTTTTTATCCCCCAGAATTAATCACCAAAAAGGGCCTTGAGCGTTAAGATGGAAAACACGCAACTACAAATTGAGACCGGAGGAACATGTTCACAGATTGCTGACGTTATGCAACACTTTTGGCTTTGATGGTGATGTACTGGACAAATTATGTGACTTGTGCACCTTCTTTGGCTAGTACTTCAACATCTCCTTGATTTGTTGCCACCTTAAAAGAGGCTATTTCATGCATAAGATGCTCTTTCATTATAAAAAGTGGTTGATGGTCTATGCAGACATAATCAAACGTTCAAAGGATAAAGCTGCCCCTTTCTCGAATGGGTAGGAATGACCCACAACCCTACAGGGGATAAGCGGTTTGAAGAATGAATGGATGGATGGGTAAGAATGAGATATCCCAAATATGAGATCAAATGATGATCAAAAGGAGATTTGCAGCATGGCATCTCTCATGCCAAATTATTCATTTGCTCTCCTAAATAAAGTGATAATGAAATGCACTGTAAAGCTTCAGTATTCAGATGAGGCTCTTGTTTTGACGCAAATAAAACATGTTTCTGCAGAAACACACACTCAAAACTACCGAGAGAGAATGGCTGTGTGGGGAGGCACATGTGGAGCCACACACCTGGGAAGGAGGGATTAACCCATCTCTGAACTCTCCATGCTGTCTGAACACGCTCTTACAAGCACTCATGCGAAGGAGCAGGGGAGTAAAATGAAGAAAAGTACGGATTTAGAGTTGATTTAGAGCTGTAAACGACAGCGCATACTGAGCACTTTATTTTTGACATTTGTAAGTGGCTAGAAATACAAGTTTTGTACATTGGATAGCATAACAACATAAATTGGCACAAAAAAAAACGGGGCCATTGAGAGTTATGCATTACAAGTACTGTGAGTTATGTAATCAGATTACTTTTTTCACGTGACTAGTAAAGTATCTAATTACTTTTAAATTTACAAGAAAATATCTGAGTTTTTCAAATAAGTAACGCAAGTTACTTTGTTTTTTTTCCCCATTTATTCATTGACAGCCCTCGTGTCCCTGTGTTGAGAGAAACTGGGGGGGAAGTGCAGAGGCAATTCCTTTGGGCTGAGGCCTATTAATTTTGGTGTGAAGAGGCCTTAAGAGTTGCCAAAAATATAACTTATGGGTTTTTTGTTATTAAAAACAAATAAGCAAGCCCAGCTCAGGTGATAAAAAGTAGTGCAAAAGTGATGTAATGCATTACTTTCCATAAAAAAGTAACCAAGTAATACAATTACAGTTTATGGAGTAATGTAACATTGTAATGCATTACTTTTAAAAGTAACTTTCCCCAACACTGGAGAGTAACCTTCTCGTTCTCGGTAGGTATCATAGTTTGGCATTGTTAGCCTTTAGCAAGAGATAATGCTGAGTTTTTTCTCTACAAATTGTAGAAATTCTTTCACACAGTGCTGTTGAGAACAAATGTCAGTGACCTTGCTGGACAGCAGTGAACTGCAGCCTGTCACAAGAATGTTACGTAACAAAGAGCTCTACGTTTAATGGCCTGTCTCAGTAATAGGGTTGACCGAGACCTTTTGGGGCACCATAAAACAGTGTCAGCTTACAGACAGGAACAAATAACATCTTGTTTATTCAGTACTATTTTAACTGTCCTGTCTTGCCCGCCTTCCCTGTGGTAGAACAGTTTTACAGACACAATGGTGTCCAGTGATGTCCATATGGTGAATATTTGCCTCCCTGCTGAGAACTCCATTTCTGTCCTGACACTTGCTTTGGGAGTTAGGACTTTCTTTAAGCCTTGGCAAACAGCTGAAATGACTCAGATGTTAAACTGGTGTTAACGTTTAATCCCTTCGAGTCGGGGTCTGTTGGGCTCTTTTGAGGGCGGGTATTACAGTCAGAAGTCACAGTGTTAAACCTCCCGATTCACAAAATCTCAGACTTGAATAATCTTGCGCTAAAGCTGAACATATGTGGAATTATGAGGCTTTAGGAGCCAGTGGCATTTTAAAGTACATCCATCCATCTATCTGTTTGTTTATCTATCATCCTGTCAGACTGTCTGTCTATCATTCTATCTGTTTGTCTGTCTAGCTATCTAACTGTTCTCTGTCTGTCTCTATTTCTGTCTACCCATCCATCCATTCATCTCTCCCTCTGGCCAACTGTCTGTATACATTGGAAATGGTTTGTGACTGAGGTTTCTGACATTGGATTGTTGGCATAGTGTGGGTATGAGCGTCATATGACCTCGTCGCCAATCAAAGCCCTTAGATTTGACTTTTTCAACACAAGGGCCCGAGGCGTAGCACAGTGTGTCATAAACAATACACAAATCCCCTGGAAGCTCAGCACTGACAACAAAAAAATGAAAGCTCCATTGTATTTTGAAGACAGCACTGATATTAGCATATACGACACATTCCCATAGACTTAATCCAGACGTTATGATTTAAATGGCCCGAATGCAAAAACACCCACACAGGATGAGAAGATAAATAAAAGAGAGAGAGACTTGATAGCACTGAACTGCTAAGCAGGATTAATCAGTTCTCAACAATATGCAGTAAACAAACACGGTGCAAAGCATGAGCGCAGAAATGAATGATGCATCGGATGAAAGAGGAAGACAGAAAAAGATGACAGGAAGGTGAGAGGGGGTGGGTGGGTGAAGAAGTTGTGAGAAAGTAGGGCACAGGAACAGAAGAGAGAATGATAGATTTCACTTTAGGAGGAAGATGTCGGTGTCTGCACAACGAAAGTAGAAGAAAAGGCAGAGAGGTGAAAAGACAACCTTTTGGGATTATGAAAAGTGCATGCATTATATTATTGGATAATACTACACTCCCATGTCCAGTGTGGCCTTGGTTACATCAGCAGAAAGGAGTTTTCGAAAGTTAGTACTTTTTGATGAAAGATTATGAAAACTCCCCCATCCAATTGTTTTTAAATAATTGTATGCAATTTATTTACTAGTTATTATTATTTTTAACTATTTTACATTTATTTAAAAATATAACTATGCATAGATTGAGTTGTGTCTATGATGTATATGATTAAATATTATATAAAATTTTAATTTGAATAAAATACACATTTAAAAACTCACATTCTGGTGAGTAATTAAGGATAAGATTATTATTATTTTATATATTATTTTTGGATTATTTCTGATGACAGGTTATGAAAACAAACTCCCCCATCTAATTATTATTTTTAAATGATTGTAACATTTCATACAATATATTTATTAGTAATAATTTAGCGCTATTTTAAATCTATTTTAAAATTTAATTATATGTAAATATAAAATACAGATAATAATATATGTGTATTTTAAAATATAAATGTATATAATCTATTATATATTATTATTATTATTATTATATTATATAAAATATTTTATTGTATAAAAATAATGCAAAATAAAACATAGATTTGAAAACTCACATTCTTGTGAGTAAATAGTG